TAAGCAGTATGACATGGATTTTCGTGCCGACATGGCACTTTCTTTCCTCACGCTCAAGCGCAGAAGTGGGTCAGGTGTGCTCGTTAGTATGCATTTAGAAGTGCTTTTTATACTCTATCTATGGATGCCTCGAGCATCCATTTTTGTCACCTCTTTCCCGAGTTATGATCTCTAGAAGTCATCACTATCACTTTGTCCGAGGACTTATGACTCAACCTAATACTTAGAACCGCACCACTACATTCGAGTGTTACTTTATAGAGTATTCGCATCACAGAGCGCATTACAGCAACGCTTTTCCTAACTCACTCCACGAAAATTTAGACTCCTAGCGGCAATTTTTGTGCAGTGGTGCACAGTAATCCACACTGACTTCATACCACAGAATAACTGCAGCTGCAGAATTGCTGGCGATTGGGGCCTACCTCGAACTGCTGCCACCCCCGTAGAGGGTTAAGAATTTTTGCTAGGCCTTGGGATCCTGATCGAAGGATGCACCAAGCTTAGGTTGTCACCCTTGATGGCAGTAACCAGCTGTGTAACATTAAATAGCAGGACTTCTTCCAATCAGCATGAGTTTATCGTCGTCGTCATCGTTAAAGTCCTTCACCATATATATTTCACTTCTGCGTCGGCATAATTCTTGCTTCGTGTAACAAAAGAATAAGCATTGCCTGTTTGAGCAAACCACGCTGGGTCTAGGTATAATTTTGGGAAACAACTGAAATCTTTCATCTTTTCGCGAAGACATACAACAACGTACCTGGCGGAGAAGGGTTATTGCTTCATCCAGCATATTTTTGTGGTACGCAAGCAATTCAGCGAGTAAACACCGGGCTTCGACTCCAACATCTGTTTCGCTGAACTGATAGTTTTTGTAAACAACTACTTCGCTGAACATAAATACTCAAAAAAAAAACAAAAAAAAGAAAACAGAATAAATTTTTCGAAAACACTCACCCAGAATCTAACAGCACCCGCAACAGGTAGTCTGCTGTGTTAACATCACCCTTGGCAATAAGAACGCGACATTTCTCCACAGTAGACAAACTGCTGGGGTTCTTATCAAGAATGAACAGACACGGCTGAAATTGTACTTCTTGTCCATCTATATAAGTACAGGGATGAGGTGCTATATTGGCAAGGAGTACACTATCACACACGCATGGTCATCGGTTTGAACTCTAAATTTTTGTCAAAGGTCATTGAGTGGAACATCGTGTGTTTCATCACAATCAAGTAACATAACATCACTCCGTTGAAATGAGGAGGTAGAGGGAATGGATATAGCTGGACTGGGTAGGAGGTCAGGGGAACAACGCAAGCGTCCCCTGCACTACAGCAGTTAAATGAAAACAACTTACAACAAACGCCTTCCTTTCACAGAGCTTCTTCACTAACACAGAGATTATCGAGTTATCACCACTTTCGCCAATTACGAGGGACTTTTCGTGATTACGTCGAAAAGAGCATAAAGCATAAAGTACCAGTCGACTGAAAGGCATTCCCTGAAATGGAAAAAGTGCAATAACAAAAAGCAGGGTGCATTAGTACGAAACAACAAACCATAGGGACGTCTCCGCTCGGTTGGTAAGAAGGCCGGAGAACATTAAGGTCACAGAGATTATTTACAATCGAAGGGTCAGGCAGTTCATCATTAATAACATTTTTACATTCAATACCTCTGAAAGTCATCTTGATAGTACTCTTCCCACAATTGATGGTGTGACGCTTTAATTCATCCACAATGCATGAGCGAACTAAAGAAAACGGCACATACTCTATGTGACAGAGAATTTCCTTCAACGAGCCAATACCACGACCGACAACATACAAAGCACAGAACAAGTTCTCCTCATGACAACTGAATCTGTAACAATAATGGATAAACGAAAGAGACTGGGAAAATGCTCCTGCCTCATACAATAACTTTGTCAATAATGAAACAGTTAATGCCCATGTTCGACTACATACTTTCCTGCACAGGCCATTTACTTGCTCTCATGACCGGAAGGCAATCAGTGGATAAAAGATTCCAGCATTGATATCGGCTGGTTTTCAAAAGCACTATGAAGCGGAATATGCACTAGAAGCCCTTTTGCTTAAGATTTTAACAAATTAAAAAAGATTTTCCAAGGGTCTTTGTAGTGCTACGTTCAGACGTGCACCCATCACTACTTTGAAAGAAGATAAAATTCCAGCAATAAATGAATTACCTCTTTGGATAGCTCACGTCTGTCCATTCTTCCCTCCGGACTGCCAAACCGTATTTCAACTCTCTGCAGCGCTCAGAGTAGTCGAGTCCACTGAACGACAATTTTGAATTCTCAATAAACAGTACACTAGGATGGTAACTCACCAAAACCAGTGAGCATCTACTAAGTCTTGATGTGATGCTGCTGCATTTGATATCACATCCA